CGCCGTTAGTGTTGAGCCTTATGACTTCCGCTGTGAGACGCTTGAGCTCGAAACCGTCACTGCAAATCACTGGAAGAATAAACGAGTTTGAATTTGTCCGAAAAGCACCGCTTTCGAAATGGCGCTTTCTCACATCAATTTCGGATGCTCAAAACCATGGGAAAAAAGTGGCGGAAGAAATCGTTGTATAGTTCGCGCTGTAAAATATTTTTTCCAGTGTTCTCCGGAAGCTAATAAAGTTTCATTAGCTCAAGGTTCTCTCGAAAGTCTGAACTGTTCGAGTCACTTGTGAATGGGAAACAAATTCATGTGACAATCACCAAAGGAGTAAATAATACAAGGTTAAAAAGACTAGGCCGAAGATGCAAAAAAGCCAGTACCGGCAGAAAGGCATGAAAATAAAACCCAGGCAAGAATGCACAAGGCCTGCCGGTGCGGTAAGGCCTTTTTGCACCGGACTTCAAGTACTCAGGTCGTTAACTGCATGAAGGTTCGGTTTCCGTTTAGCGGTTGTTCTTAGAAAATGACCTAGTTGTTCGGCAAACAATTTTCCCGCCAAAACTTTAACATGCTCGTTTTTTATACTAGGACCACGCAGACCTGGAGACCGAATTTGAAATCTTTAAGTTGTACTTGGACAAGGAACATTCCCCTAAAACATTCAGCCTTCCAGCTTTTTTGGTTGCGGGTTAGCATTTTTCCCGGCAAAACTTTCACGTGCCCGTACATGAGAACTGCGCATACCTAGAGGTTGAACTTGAAACCTCTGGCTCACAAATGCACAGAGAATATCGCTGCAGAGTTCAGCTCTCTATCGTTTCTGATTCCTGAGGTCACTTTTCCGCAAAAAAATTTGCTTTTTTTTAAGGCGCTCGCATACAGTATTCAGGCGTATGTGAATGGTAATAATAAAATCGAACAATTGGGTAAATACTCCTAAAGTTCCAGCCTTTTAGTTTAAGATTTAAAAAAATGTAAGAAAAAATGGTAGAAAACATGAGAAAAATTATTAAAGTAGGTAAAAAATGTTTCGGTCCACTAAGTCGTATACATTTCTTACCTTTACCACAATTGGACCTCGTCAGTACGACTGTGGTAAAAGGATTTTATGAAAGGAAATTAATTAAGATGGGAGCTTTTCTGGTTCTCGAGTTGAAAGTGGATGACAAAAAGTGCAAACACGCAGACACACACACACACAGCTCCTTAACAATATGCGTTATTGCATACGCATATGTGCAAAAACACATAAAAAATTAGCAAAAATTAAATAAGACGATTAGATTAATAAAGAAGTTGTCTTGGTCTGAAAGATCTCGCTCTTTAACTCATTCTTTAACCCATTCTTTAAAGGCCAGGACTCATGAAGGGGTGCTAATCATAAGCGTTACTCCTTCGCCCAGATGCTCGAAAATCCATCTCGATCAAAGACAACTTACAAAAGTTTCAGTTACAAAATGTGTCAGGAACAAAGAGCATCTGGATTGTTATCATGTACAAATTTCCCCAATCTGATGCTAGAACATATGATCACAGAAACATATATCTGCTGCTATTTAAAACATTGCGCTCACACGACTGTTCCAAACACGCGTTTTTCTGTGCACTAACAGTATGCCCTGAATGCGGAACAAAGAATATTTTTTGAATTTTTGAGAATTCTAATATTTAAAAATATAAGAAAAGTCCGGTAAGTTAAAGATTTTGAGAAAAACACAACATAAAACCAGCGCGGGAATGCGCTTTTTAAGATCGTTATGAATGCGCAAGGTATGTGGCTAGAGGCAATCGTACTGCGCACCACAACAATTTTTGAGTGCATTCGGTGGCAAAGTGAGATACTAGGGATAAAAAGTTGACTTCACATCAATCATCACGAAACGCACCGGCACCTCAGAAATTCTAAGCGTGCAGCTTGTCGGTTATAAGTCATCTTTGGTTTGTGCCGCGGTACAACACCCGAAATCTCGCAAAAGTATATTCAACTAGCAATATGCTATGAGTTAAACTCAAAATTTTGAGACCGAAGCTTCATTTCATAGAAAAAATTGCCGACTTCGAAGTCCAGGGACCACAAAACAGGAATGTCTGGACGTTATTTGTAAGTACGGAAGTGCACAAGGTCCAAGCTCATGTCCGAAAAACTGCAAAATTTCTAACATTCGTATCTCCGAACCAAAAAAAGTATATATAAGACTGAGAAAAAAAAAATTGAGATGCAGCAGGAATCTAACATACGAAGGACGCAAGCCTGCAAATAAACGCATCGGAAACGAAGGTAATGCAAAGCGTCATTGTCGGCAGCCAGACTGCAAACAGACCGTGCTGACTAGGACGAAGTTGACAACCGTGCCTGTGTCAGTTAGGAATTACATATTTGCTAAAATTCCGCAGAACATGAACTCGTGATAATCAGTCCTTGATTTTTACAAAAAAAGCACAAATTACGGCAAAACACAAAATACCGGCTAAAAGCAAAACTGTGCGAATTCCGCAACACTCGACCCATTTCTCTATTACCTTAGCTATCAGTAAAATCAAAGGCAAAAAAAATGGAGAGAAGAAACCGCAGCACAAGTCTAGTAATCAAACAGTACCGATAAACGGAACGACCTGGAAATACTGACTGCATAGTGAGACTACAGAGAGCGAACAAGATTATCTTCTATGACATATATTACAAATATAGCATCTTCACAAATTCGTGGTGGCGCATTATGTCTCGAAAGAAAATTGACAATGATATTTGTGACAAGTGAAGAGACTTCAACTGAAGGCTGAAAGAGGTATTCGCCCACTGAATCCGCGAGATCTCCCTGATTAAAGAAGTCAGAAGAGCAACACAGTGCTTTCTATGTGGGAAAACCCAAATCTCTCATAAAAACAACTTACTCAAGGAATGAACTGCAGCATGGAATGCTAGCTGC